CTCGGTCTGAAAACCAATAAATATCCATCACAATTCAGATCGGGGCGGGTCTAGAGCTAGATGGGGCTCAACCTTTGGCTTTCCTTTTTACTTAATACACATAGTTTCCTTGAACAACATAGTTACTTAAGAACTTGTTTCACTGGTAATTTCTATTAGAAAAATGAGGATTTTGCAATTAAGCTCCGCCCCCGGTTTACAACGAATGAAAATCATCATAATCCGGATTGAGATAGGGCGGGTGGGCGGGGTTTGCATTTTGTTTTGATTTTCTTAATATCGTAGTCTTCTTTTCTTAACAAAGAACTTAAAACTTGTTCAAAATGGTAAATTTTCGTAGGAAAATATGAATTCTGTGATTATGCTCCTCCCATCGACTTGAAAACCAATGAAATATTCATCACAATTTAGATCGGGGCGGGTCTAGCTGGGGCTTAATCTTTGGCTTTTTGGCTTTCTTTTTTACTTACTTAATACACATAGTTTCCTTGAAAAACACATTTAATTAAGAACTTGTTTACCGTGATAATTTTTTGTAGAAAAATAAGGATTTTGCAATAAGCTCCGCCCCCGGTTTACAACGAATCAAAAACATTATAATTCCGATTGAGATAGGGTGGGTGGGCGGGGTTTGCATTTTGCCTTGATTTTCTTGATATCGTAGTCTTCTTTTCACCACAAAAAACTTAAAACTTGTTCAAAATGGTAAATTTTTGTGGGAAAATATGAATTCTGTGATTATGTTCCTCCCATGGACTTGAAAACCAATGAAATATTCATCACAATTTAGATGGGGCGGGTCTAGGCGGGGCTTAATCTTTGGCTTTTTGGCTTTCTTTTTTACTTAATACACATAATTTCCTTGAACAACACATTTAATTAAGAACTTGTTTACCATGATAATTTTTTGTATAAAAATAAGGATTTTGCAATAAGCTCCGCCCCCGGTTTACAACGAATGAAAATCATCATAATCCGGATTGAGATAGGGCGGGTGGGCGGGCTTTGCATTTTGCTTTGATTTTCTTAATATCGTAGTCTTCTTTTCTTAACAAAGAACTTAAAACTTGTTCAAAATGGTAAATTTTCGTAGGAAAATATGAATTCTGTGATTATGCTCCTCCCATCGACTTGAAAACCAATGAAATATTCATCACAATTTAGATCGGGGCGGGTCTAGGTGGGGCTTAATCTTTGGCTTTTTGGCTTTCTTTTTTACTTAATACACATAGTTTCCTTGAAAAACACATTTAATTTAGAACTTGTTTACCATGATAATTTTTTGTAGAAAAATAAGGATTTTGCAATAAGCTCCGCCCCCGGTTTACAACGAATCAAAAACATTATAATCCCGATTGAGATAGGGTGGGTGGGCGGGGTTTGCATTTTGCCTTGATTTTCTTGATATCGTAGTCTTCTTTTCACCACAAAAAACTTAAAACTTGTTCAAAATGGTAAATTTTTGTGGGAAAATATGAATTCTATGATTATGTTCCTCCCATGGACTTGAAAACCAATGAAATATTCATCACAATTTAGATGGGGCGGGTCTAGGTGGGGCTTAATCTTTGGCTTTTTGGCTTTCTTTTTTACTTAATACACATAGTTTCCTTGAAAAACACATTTAATTAAGAACTTGTTTACCATGATAATTTTTTGTAGAAAAATAAGGATTTTGCAATAAGCTCCGCCCCCGGTTTACAACGAATGAAAATCATCCTAATCCGGATTGAGATAGGGCGGGTGGGCGGGGTTTGCATTTTGCTTTGATTTTCTTAATATCGTAGTCTTCTTTTCATAACAAAAAACTTAAAACTTGTTCAAAATGGTACATTTTTGTAGGAAAATATGAGTTCTGTCATTATGCTCCTCCCATCGACTTGAAAACCAATGAAATGTCCATTACAATTTAGATGGGGCGGGTCTAGGTGGGGCTTAATCTTTGGCTTTCTTTTTTTTTAATAAATAAAAAATAAATAATAAATAAGATTTATTTGCCCAACAGAAATAATTCCATTTTTAATTAATACATATAGTTTCCTTGAACAACACAGTAACAGTTATTTAAGAACTTGTTACACATCATAATTTCTTGTAGAAAAATAAGGATTTTGCAATTAAACTCCGCCCCCGGTTTACAACGAATCAAAAACATCATAATCCCGATTGAGATAGGGCGGGTGGGCGGGGCTTGCATTTTGCTTTGTTTTTCTTAATGTCGTAGTCTTCTTTTCGCAACAAAAAACTTAAAACTTGTTCTAGATAGTAAAATTTTGTAGGGGAATATGAATTCTGTCATTATGCTCCTCCCCTCGACTTGAAAACCAATGAAATATTCATCACAATTTAATCGGGGCGGGTCTAGGTGGGGCTTAATCTTTGCCTTTCTTTTTTACTTAACACATATAGTTTCCTTGAACAACACAGTTAATTAAGAACTTGTTTCACATAATGTCATGTACAAAAAAAGGATTTTGCAATTAAGCTCCGCCCCGGGTTTACAACGAATGAAAATCATCATAATCCCAATTGAGATAGGGCGGGTGGGCGGGGTTTGCATTTTGCCTTGATTTTCTTAATATCGTAGTCGTATTTTCACAACAAAAAACTTAAAACTTGTTCAAAATAGTAAATTTTACATTGTCCATTATTATCAGTTACTTTTGATAGATATTGGGAAATACAGGTAAATTTGTAATGATCGATTTTTTTTGCACAAAGCCATGCTAACTAGATGAAATCAATAGCTTCGTCGAGGACTAATAAATGTGTAAACCAAGGAGGGTAATATTGGCGGTGGAAATTTGAGGGAGAATCTGTTTACATAATTAGGAGTATTGAAATTACCTATCACTAAAAATAATTTGTACCTGTAATTGGTGTAACACTGTTTACACTGTTGGTCAATAAAATAATAACAATAATAATAAAAATAAATGTGTAGTGACGGCACCATGGGAAAACGCCAAAGTGAATCAGAGTACGAATCATTACCTCAGTAGAAATTTCCAGATTGTTATCATTAGTGTCATAAATTAAAAATTCGGGTTAAACGAGCCGAAATTCTGGGTTATCTCCAAACAGCTTCATAATTTTTGTCTAAACAACATGGGCCCTCTCGCTGACCCCTGCGTGCCGCATCCGGGTCCGCCGCCGTTGTTGGCTATCCAAGCAGAGCGCCATTAACGGTTCCGCGCAAAAAACCTCATTCAAATGAAGAAAAATCCTAATTATTGACTTGTCTCTCAACCGGATGACTCGGTTTTGAATTCTATTTGCTGGCATTCGGAATGCATGATGGCAAGATTTTTTCCCGCTCCGACCATGACAACGCAGACAAAGCGATCGGTAGAGCGTACGACTTCCTGTCATCTTGATTGAAGATTTATCCGCTTTTTGATCTCGAAAACTGCGTTTCTTGCTCCATGCAAATCTGGTGCAGCGCGCGGTAACGCAATTACACGCGTTTTTGCGATTTCGGCCGAAGGGGGTGGCGGCTTCCGCCCGAGCCCGAATTCGGGTCGACATTGTGGTCCTGCGAGCCGGATGGCCCGGTAATTGAATCCGTTTAGGAGCGATCGCAACAAGAGTTAGCCGAGTTTTGATGAAATTAATGTACACAATTAGAGCAGACACGCATTGCAGTCACGAGAAATAGCGATTCTCCGGTTCTACTCGCAGTCACAATGTTCGCCAAACATAATAAACCTAACTAACTGCCTCTGTTCCCATTAGATATGCATTTCAAACCCGAATAAAACTTTATTGGTGGGTTACGTTGCTCTGTAAGTTGGATCGATTCACGTTTCAATCACGATTAACAAATTACCTAGTTCTGGGGTACTTTCGTTTTCCGTTATTGCCAGGACTGACACGAAAATGGAGGTTGTTAATTGACAAGCCTTGAACGACGGGAATTGTAACGGGCTGGATTTTATGCTTGCTGGGATGAGCGAGTGACAATGGATTTCGGCCGGATCGTCACAGCACTCTAGATTTGTACGGAACCTGATAAGTCTGATCCTATTAAAATTATTCGTAAAACACAAAACAGAAAGATTTATAGTGCTTCTACATTGTTTGACAGTCGGTTGCACAAAGACCCGGCATTTTTCATAACACACGTAACAATGCACAGGCATTTTTCAATTAACACCGCGATAATGGCTCGTAAAATAATAATCTCCGCGTTACAATTTCGTTAGGCAATATCCATCACACGTAGAACAAGTTTTTAATTAGATTAATTAATTGCAAACTAATTATCCCACCGTGTTATTATTTGCATGAATTATTAATGCCTCAAAATTGAATTAGTTTCAGTTAATTAACCAAAATTTAATGGTAGACTGTATAACAAGAACAAATTTCGGCCATAAATAATAATTATATCTAACGAACCACACCAATTATGCATATTGAAGCCAGCTATCGATTGAAAAAAAATTAAAAACAAGCCTGCAGTTTTAAGGACGATCTATTCATAAAAAACCGATCGAGCAATTAATTCTAACCACCTCCGGCCACTTTCACCATTGTCCATAACACCAAACAGTTTTTCAAAGTCCGCAATTAATTACACTCCACCTCGTATATTACTTTAACTCTAAATCAACCGATAAATAATACCTTCATACCTCCTTATTTCTCCAATTACGGTAATTATTGCCTAGGACATTTATGTTTAACCTACGATAAAATTGGTCTTTAAGTGCGCATTTACTAAACCGAAAGGTACATAACTAGATAGCGTCACTTACACAATGCACAAATAAATTGTGTGCACTATAGTATTTTTAGCATTGTTAATGACACGAAAGCCTATTATAAATAACACTCCGCGACAACTCCCCGTGTTTAACTTACTTATAATGTCACATAAATTACAATCGCGCCATACTGCATTTAATTACTATTATTACAGCCCGAAACTGGTGAAACACCGGGGTCCATTCTAGAGCGTGTTCTGTTTCGCGTTTACGGTAACGATCTGCACTCACCTTTCCCGTCGCCGTTCTCCGCCGCCTCCCCCGCGTCCCCCAGGTCCACGAGGCTGCGGATGGAGAAGACCGATTTGGCCACCCGCATTTTGCAGGCGTTGTCCTGCGCGGCGGGGTCGCGGGGGCGGGTGCTGAGGTCCATTTCGACGCACTCGCCGTCCATGGGCTGGTCGGCGGCGGCGGCGTCCCGTGATGGGCCGGGGTGCATCAATGGTCACCTGGAAGCAGAGCGCACTGCCTGAATTACGCGTGCGAAATGGGCTGTCCTTGCGTGCTGTGTCAAACGTACGATAAATTACTGTTACTTTTACTACACAAGCGTGGTGAATCGGTGAAATTGATGAATGGTGGCGATAAGTTTGCGTAAAGTGTGGGCGCGATGGCAGCGTTGTTGGTCGAATGCTCATGCACAATTTTTGGCAATTTTTAATTTAAGTCAATGGGTTTAATATATTTTGGAAAAACGAGCAAGATTACGTTGATATTTATTTTTGAATCGAGTGGACTTAAAAAAGTGATTTGGATTTCCTTGGTATCCAAGCAATTAAAATACTAACTTCCACGAGAGAGCAAAAAAATAGTTGCATTTTCAACTCAAACTTTTAAATTGACGGTAATTTGACAAGACAAAAATTCAATCAAAGACAAATCTTCAAAAATTCATAGCTGTTTTTGATCGTGTTTTTTAATACTTTCTAGGTTAAACAGGTTAGTTTTGTCCTAAATTAAACTGTACATTTTAGCACTACTATTTATTTCACGAACTGTCTCAGAAACAGTTGATTTTGACAATTTTTTGAGATGACGTCATCAAGTTTCAGGAGGGGATGAATATGAACTTAGTAACTTCAATATCCTACTAAAATTCAAAAGAATATTCTTGCTTATATTCCAAAAATAAGTAAAAATATCCCAATTTATTTATTTATTTTTTGATAATTTTTTGAAGTAAGGGAAAAATAAACCCTTGTCGAGTTATACAATTCAATAACATTTATTTAACAATATTACTGATAAATAGGAAAATTTCGGACAGAATTTACAATCTTCACAACAATTTTAATATCCACTTGGAATTTTGAAGTATTCGGTTCAGTAGTTCGGTTATAATTAGGTAAATATTTTCGTCGCAGCAACGTTTGTCGTGTGCTCACGCAGAATTTCTGGCTGGGTATACAGCATAGAGAAATTTTTATTTCAAACTACTGAGATTTACTTGTAATTAATTTCTAAATCAAGTGGACGTAAAATAAATGATTTGGATTTCCTTGATATTCAACTAAGTAGTTCCATTACTAACTTAGTACGAGAGAGCAAAAAGAAAGCATAATCAATGACAACCACGGATTTTTAAAAGTTTGTCTCTGATCGTTGCATTTTCAACTCAAACTTTTAAATTGACAAGACAAAAATTCAATCAAAGACAAATCTTCAAAAATCCATAGCTGTTTTTGATCGTGTTTTTGCTACTTTCTAGGTTAAACAGAGGTTAGTTTTGTCCTAAATTAAACTGTACATTTTAGCACTACTATTTATTTCACGAACTGTCTCAGAAACAGTTGATTTTGACAATTTTTTGAGATGACGTCATCAAGTTTCCGGAGGGGATGAATATGAACTTAGTAAATTCAATATTCTACTATAATTCAAAAGAATATTCTTGCTTATATTCCAAAAATAAGTAAAAATATCCCAATTTATTTATTTATTTTTTGATAATTTTTTGAAGTAAGGGAAAAATAAACCCTTGTCGAGTTATACAATTCAATAACATTTATTTAACAATATTACTGATAAATAGGAAAATTTCGGACAGAATTTACAATCTTCACAACAATTTTAATATCCACTTAGAATTCTAAAGTATTCGGTTCAGTAGTTCGGTTATATTTAGGTAAATATTTTCGTCGCAGCAACGTTTGTCGTGTGCTCACGCAGAATTTCTGGCTGGGTATACAGCATAGAGAAATTTTTATTTCAAACTAATGGGATTTATTTGTAATTAAATTCTAAATCAAGTGGACGTAAAATAAATGATTTGGATTTCCTTGATATTCAACTAAGTAGTTCCATTACTAACTTAGTACGAGAGAGCAAAAAGAAAGCATAATCAATGACAGCCACGGATTTTTAAAAGTTTGTCTTTGATCGTTGCATTTTCAACTCAAACTTTTAAATTGACAAGACAAAAGTTCAACCAAAGACAAATCTTCAAAAATCCATAACTGTTTGTGATCGTGTTTTTTGCTATTTTCTAGGTTAAACAGATTAGTTTCGTCCTAAATTAAACTGTACATTTTAGCACTATTATGCATTTCACGAAATGTCTCAGAAACAGTTGATTTTGACAATTTTTTGAGATGACGTCATCAAGTTTCCGGAGGGGATGAATATAAACTTAGTAAATTCAATATCCTACTAAAATTCAAAAGAATATTCTTGCTTATATTCCACAAATAAGTAAAAATATCCCAATTTATTTATTTATTTTTTGATAATCTCTTGATGCAAGAAGAAAATAGACCCTTGTCGAGTTATACAATTCAATAACATTTATTTAACAATATTACTCATAAATAGGAAAGTTTCGGACAGAATTTACAATCTTCACAACAATTTTAATATCCACTTAGAATTTTGAAGTATTCGGTTCAGTAGTTCGGTTATAATTAGGTAAATATTTTCGTCGCAGCAACGTTTATCGTGTGTTCACGCAGAATTTCTGGCTGGGTATACAGCATAGAGAAATTTTTATTTCATACTAATGGGATTTATTTGTAATTAATTTCTAAATCAAGTGGACGTAAAAAAAATGATTTGGATTTCCTTGATATTCAACTAAGTAGTTCCAGTACTAACTTAGTACGAGAGAGCAAAAAGAAAGCATACTCAATGACAGCCACGGATTTTTAACAGTTTGTCTTTGATCGTTGCATTTTCAACTCAAACTTTTACATTGACAAGACAAAAATTCAATCAAAGACAAATCTTCAAAAATCCATAGCTGTCTTTGATCGTGTTTTTTGCTACTTTCTAGGTTAAACAGAGGTTAGTTTTGTCCTAAATTAAACTGAACATTTTAGCACAATATCAATCAACAATATTATTGATAAATAGGAAAAATTCGGGTAGAATTAATCCATCTTCACGATAATTTTAATATACACTTAGAATTTTAAAGTATTCGGTTCAGTAGTTTCGGTTATAATTAGGTAAAGATTTTCGTCGCCGTATCGTTTGTCCTGTACTCACGCAGAATTTCTAGCTGACTATACAGCATGGGAAAATTTTTATTTCAAACTAATGGGATTTAATTGTAATTTATTTCTAAATCAAGTGAACTTAAAAAAAATGATTTGGATTTCTTTGATATTCAACTAATTGCAGTACTATCTTACTACCAGAGAGCAAAAAAAAATATATTCAAGGACAGCCATGGATTTTTGAAAGTTTGTCGTTGATTGATGCATTTTCAAATCAAACTTTAATCTAACAAGACAAAAATTCTATCAAAGACAAATCTTCAAAAATCCGTAGCTGTCTTTGATCGCGTTTTTTATTGCTCTCTCGGTAGAACATGTAGTTTTATCCGAAATTAAACTTTATATTTTAGCACTAGTATTCAGTTCCCGAAATGTTTAAGAAAAAGTTGATTTTAATAAATTTTTGAGATGACATCATCAAGTTTCCAAAGGGGCTGAATATGTAACTTAGTAAATTCAATATCCTACTAAAATTTAAAAAAATATTCTTCCATATATTTCACAAATAAGTAAACATATCCGAATTTATGTTTTTATTCTTTAGTAAACTTTTGATGTAAATAAACAATAGAAGCTTGTCAAGTTCTACAATTCGATAGAATTTATTTCACAATATTATTGACAAATTGGAAAATTTCGGGTAGAATTAATCCATCTTCACGATAACTTTAATATACATTTAGAATTTTAAAGTATTCGGTTCAGTAGTTTCGGTTATAATTAGGTAAAGATTTTCGTCGCCGTATCGTTTGTCCTGTACTCACGCAGAATTTCTAGCTGACTATACAGCGTGGGAAAATTTTTATTTCAAACTAATGGGATTTAATTGTAATTTATTTCTAAATCAAGTGAACTTAAAAAAAATGATTTGGATTTCTTTGATATTCAACTAATTGCAGTACTATCTTACTACCAGAGAGCAAAAAAAAATATATTCAAGGACAGCCATGGATTTTTGAAAGTTTGTCGTTGATTGATGCATTTTCAAATCAAACTTTAATCTAACAAGACAAAAATTCTATCAAAGACAAATCTTCAAAAATCCGTAGCTGTCTTTGATCGTGTTTTTTATTGCTCTCTCGGTAGAACAGGTTAGTTTTATCCGAAATTAAACTTTATATTTTAGCACTAGTATTCAGTTCCCGAAATGCTTGAGAAAAAATTGATTTTAATAATTTTTTGAGATGACGTCATCAAGTTTCCAGAGGGGCTGAATATGTAACTTAGTAAATCCAATATCCTACTAAAATTTAAAAAAATATTCTTCCATATATTTCACAAATAAGTAAAAATATCCGAATTTATGTTTTTATTCTTTAGTAAACTTTTGATGTAAATAAACAATAGAAGCTTGTCAAGTTCTACAATTCGATAGAATTTATTTCACAATATTATTGACAAATTGGAAAATTTCGGGTAGAATTAATCCATCTTCACGATAACTTTAATATACATTTAGAATTTTAAAGTATTCGGTTCAGTGGTTTCGGTTATAATTAGGTAAAGATTTTCGTCGCCGTATCGTTTGTCCTGTACTCACGCAGAATTTCTAGCTGACTATACAGCGTGGGAAAATTTTTATTTCAAACTAATGGGATTTAATTTTAATTTATTTCTAAATCAAGTGAACTTAAAAAAAATGATTTGGATTTCTTTGATATTCAACTAATTGCAGTACTATCTTACTACCAGAGAGCAAAAAAAAATATATTCAAGGACAGCCATGGATTTTTGAAAGTTTGTCGTTGATTGATGCATTTTCAAATCAAACTTTAATCTAACAAGACAAAAATTCTATCAAAGACAAATCTTCAAAAATCCGTAGCTGTCTTTGATCGTGTTTTTTATTGCTCTCTCGGTAGAACAGGTTAGTTTTTTCCGAAATTAAACTTTATATTTTAGCACTAGTATTCAGTTCCCGAAATGCTTGAGAAAAAATTGATTTTAATAATTTT